AGAGAGAGAGAGAGATTACTTATATATGTTTGTTGTGTTGTGTGTGTTGAGAGAGAGACTATTGTGTATGATTGTGTGTTATGTTTTGTGTATCTGTTTTCTTCCTCTTTCTTTTTAACTAGCCATGTCTTTATTAAAAATGGTGGGTGTGTTATTGTTCTCTCACTCTTCAACCACTCTTGCTCTCTGTCTCTCTCCCCCCCTCCCCCGCTTCAACCAATCTGCTGTCTCTCTCTCTCTACTATGATTGATATGTTGATGTAGGATAAGGTACCTCTTATTTCTGAATTTTTCTTATATAATTTTAGAAATATATTTTTGGAATTTCCTGGAGTTATTTTTAGGGTTTTTAAGTTTTTTAGGGATTCTAGGGTTTTTTATATTTTTAGTATTTTGGGAGTTGTTTAGAGAAGTAGTGAGAGGTCTTATGGAATTGTATTTTTTGAAAAGTGAAAATATATATGCATTTATTTATTTTGTCATCATCATTATCAGAACCTTATCCCCAACTATTTAGGTTGGCTACACGATCCTGTTACGCCATTCAACTCTACCAAGGGCCATATCTCAACTATTCATTTATTTGTAAATAAGGGTCTATGTAGAGAATTTAGAATAGAGATTTGAGTTATTGTTTAGAAACATGGTTACCTTGAATTCTTGTGAATTCTGTAGAGCCGTGGAATCTTGGCTTATTAGCTAGCTTCCTTTTATTTTCCAATTAATAGATTATTTAGTTTCTTCCTCGTGAAATTCTTTCTACTTCAATTGGTATTAGAGCAGAGGTTTTGTGATTACTAAGGGCATAAATTTTCAATCAAACCTAGGGCTTGTGATTGTGGTGAATTTATGGTAATAAGAAGGGGTTGAGGAAGAGGAGCTCTCGTAGATATACCTCACGATGGCAGAAATGAAAAGATTGAAGATCTCAAAAGACAAATTTAGCAATTGGCACAACAACTTGTAGGTACCACTTATGGGCAAGACTCTGAATTTTTTGCCCACGTGAGGGTTGAGTGAAGAGGAAAGTGAGAGGACTTAGACATTGGAGCATCACTCTAGGATTTTTGATATGAAGGTGGGCTTTTCTGATTTTGACGAGCATTATTTGACTCATAGCCAAGGGAGAGATGATCTCCGTGGTTGCGAGTACAACTTGGTTCGTGATATTAAGGAGCACGACCATGAAGAATCTTTGTTTTTCATCAAGTTGTTTCCAACATCAGCATGCTGTAAATTGGAGATTGGGATTTGCCACCAATTTCCGACGAATGCTTAGATAAAGAACGTGATCTAGTAGGAGATCTATACCACAATGATGCACAAGATTTAGTGGTTGAACCAATCTTTGACAAAGATAAAGATGAGGGCGACTTAATAGGTGACATTGTTGGTTTGAACACCGAATTCAGTCCTCACCCTTCGTATGTTTTAGGGCCGAGCCAAGGCAATTTTAGCAGGGTTATATATGGCTGAACTAATGCGCTTTCAGCTAGTTTATGTGATTGAGTTGAGCATATATATCGTAGTAATTCCATCATCATATAATAATCCTTTCCTTGAGTTCTCAAATGCGTTTGTGCACATATTGACAAATTTCAAAGCAGTCCTAATGCATAATCATTGTGTTTTGATTGGGCCAATAAACCACATGTCCCAGGATTTGAAGCATAATATTCGGGTTGAAGAAAGTTGTGGCCGTAGTACATTATTCATTTTTAGCTTACTTCAAAACTCAAGGACAAGTTTTCTCCATCCGAGGGAGTCTTATGCATAACAAGATACATCTTATTTTTGAATTCTTCTTATTAAATTTAAGGATGTATTTTTGGAATTTTCTAGGTTATTTTTAGTTTTTTTATTTAATTTTTCAGGCATTTGAGTTTTTTTTATATGCTTAGGATTTTATGAGTTGCTTAGAAAAGTAGTTAGAGTGCTTATGGAATTACATATTATGTCATGGGTACAAATGTTGTTATGAATTTTGTTTTAGTTTGGACTTCTATTTCAATTAGATTTAGGATTTCTTGGACTATTAAGTAAGGCTGTTTATTATCAATAGGGGTATATGTAGAGGATTTAGAATAATATTCAAGTTTTTTTTTTTTTGATAACTGTTAACATTTGTATTGATAAAGAGAGATAGATACAAGAGAAGAAAAGGCAATCCAGGAGTTTAGAAACACTATATTCTTGTGAATTTTGAGAGCCATGGATGATTGGCTTGTTAGCTTCCTCTAATTTTTCAATCGATAGATTATTTGATTTTTTACTTGGAAAATTATTTTCACATCAGTCTGATGTGGGGGCTAGAAAAGTCTTGGGTGTTCCTTTGGATTTTAATTTTAAGGGTTGTATTATTTATTTATTTTTATTATTCAAAATAATTTTTTCTTTGTATGAGAGGAGGTCATTATTTAGATAATAAGGGGTCAAAGTTGGCATTTAAGTAGGGGAGTAAGTAAGGTTCTTATTTTAATGGGGTTTGGGTAAGAGGTGTGTACACGGCAAGGGAGAGAGAAGGAAGTTAGTTGGAGTCCTAAAAAGTAGGGATTTTGCAGAGATTATGTTATAGAGAATGTTTCCTAGAATTTTAGCTCTAAAGAAGAGAGGCACGTATGGATAGGAAAGAGGGAGTTCCTTAATTCGTCTTTTATTTTTGTTTATTCTATTCTATTTACACAGTGGAATAAATGTGACCAGAAGGCTTAGATTTTCAGACTTTAATTGATAGAAGAAAAAAGGGATTCTTTCTTGGAGATAGTTTGCACAACTAATTAGTTCTCTCGCCCTTGTGTTGTGCACACTCTCCCTGGACTTTTGTGGCTAAGGGAATTCCTAGCAACCTATAACCCTGAACCATAGTTACCACATTAACTTGGTAAACCACAGTGTACCACAACCAGTAGTCCATAATCCTTGAGAAATCCTTAAATCAGACCAACCTGCCTAGTGTCCGAGTCTGATAAGAATCTGTAGAGATTCTTCTAGAATAGCACATAAACATTAGAAAATTGCTAATAGAGCCTAGAAAACAATCCGAGACTGAACCAGGCCACAACTATTGGGTTCAACCCATTTGTGAACTGATGTTGAGTTGGGATATGATTCATTGTCCTATAAGAATCTTATCATAACCAGGTTATGGGTTTGATATTCCCCTTGAGGACCGCTTTGATCTCATTGGTGGTTCTGATCTTTGACAAAGAACCAGGTGAAGGTGAAGACCAAGTTGGATTGGATCTTCAGTTGGAGTCACGATTCTTTAATGTGACAAGTGACTCTATTTTTGATGAATGGCCTATGTTGATAAAGAACAAGACGAAAGTATGTTGGCCCCAAGGCAGCGGGGATATTTAATTTCTTCATCCATGGAGTGGAGGACAAGCATGAGGTTGGCATGAACCCCGAGAAGCCAAAGCCTATAGAGAAGAAGGAGAGGATTGGAGGAAGGATGAGGCACAAAGGAGGGAGGTGGGTAATGCAATGTATAAGGACGATTTTGAGGATATGATCAAGAATTATTAGAAAGACATGATTTATTTCACTAAAAAGATTGATGGAGAAGGCATGTCTTGTCGAATGGTTGTGTATCTAGAGATGGGAAAGTTTGAATATTGTATGCAGGATTGTAAAAAGGTTTTCAGGACCATGGTTTTTTCTATTTTTAATTATTTTAGCAATTTTTTTACAATTGTTTTTGGATATGTGGACCTGTTTTGAGATCTTCCAGGACTCAACTGACTCCTGTCAGACTTGGTCGAGTAACTCGGCTCGAGCCTTGGCCGAGACCGAGGTGCGAATCAAATTATAGAAAGAACGTTGTGTTGGTTTGGGAGTAGTCTCTGATTTCCAGGATGTATGATAGCTTTATCTGCTGCATGCAACTGGTATTGTGGGTTGTTGAGTATTGGTATCATATATGTTATTCTTTATGAATCAATAATAGTTATTTATGCTTCTGGGTTTCTAATATTAGTTATCGCTGATGAATTCCATTTTGTTAGCCATTCTGATCTCAAGGGGTGTTGATCACCTTATCAAGAAAAATAGGATAGCTGATCTCTTTGATAAGCACTTTTATTGTTAAACAACTTTTGATTACTGAATACACGGGTGATGCTCAATTATTGCATTATACAATGTCTATATGTTGCATCTTATTTGAGTGAATAATGAATCAGTCTATCTGCAGTGGTACCAAATATTTAGATGGAATTGCAGCTTCAGGAAATTGATTGCCTGAAGAAGTGAAGTGCAGATCCATACTAAGTGAGGTTATTTGTTCACTGATGCGCTCTAGCCAGTATTTTACACATGACAAGGAATTTCTTTCTTATGTTACAGGTTTCATTGTTTAAGAGGTTGCTTCTTATGGTAAGGAATTTGAGGGCAGAATCTGATCGTATGCATGCTCTTGCTTGTATATGCCGTACAGCTCTTTGTGTCGACCTTTTTGCTAAAGAAAGTGTGAGGAGAGGTCAAAAGCCCCTTCCTGGGACTGATATTGCTTCACTTTTTGAAGATGCAAGAATCAAGGAGGATCTTAATACTGTTTCTAGCAAAAGTTTATTCAGGGAGGAGCTAGTGGCTTCTCTAGTAGAAAGTTGTTTTCAGCTCTCTCTTCCCCTTCCCCAACAAAGGGATACTGGTACAGAGAGCAGAGTAATTGGAGCGCTGGCTTATGGAACAGGCTATGGAGCATTGAATTGGACAGAGTCAGCTCTGGAGGTGGTGGAGGTTTGCAGACCGTGTGTCAAATGGGACTGTGAAGGAAGGACGTATGCCATAGACTGTTACTTAAAGTTGCTGGTAAGGCTTTGCCATATTTATGATACTAGAGGGGGTGTTAAAAAGGTTAAAGACGGGGCTTCTCAGGATCAAATTCTGTATGAAACAAGGTTGCAGTCTTTGCAAAGGCTGCTCGTTAAAGATTTGCGAGAGGTTAGCTATAAATGTTGCTGGCATCCATGGCCTTGCATGTTCTTTTGGGTTTCCCCTCGAATATATGTTTTTTTTGTTATGGTTTTATTTACTTGCAGCTTTCATGGTGTGTCTGTGAACAATTTTTTTCCTCATGCTGTTCAATTCAAGTATTTTGCTCCTATTTTTTGCACTCTTGTCAAACACCTGAAGATGTCATTCCGTGAAGCTATCATTCCATGGACGGAACCTGTGAAGAAGGTTCCCTTTGTCTTCTCTGATTTGATTCCTTTTAAGCTCTCGTAGTCTCCCTCTTCTTCTGCTGCTCCACGCGGTGTTTCTTTGTCTTTGGCTTCATGGGATGTTTGCCATACCATCATCGATGAAGGCATTTGTCCTCCATTGATGTCCAAAGATTGTACCGGTTAATTGCATCAATTTCATCTGTTGTCCAAATAGATTCATGATTTCTCTTATTTCTTTTCAATGGCAATTATCTGAATATCTGAGATTCTGGATAAAATCCATAGCAATGCAGCTGTCTCATTGCAACAGAATCCATTATTTTGTAATGGATGACTCGTTTATTTAAAATAAATGAGAGATTTTTAATGTTCTTTAGTTATCAAACTACACTACACGATAAGGTACCTTTGACTTCTCCTGGCCCCTTAATCACTAAGCGCATGGGCTGAATGCCAATGTGAATTTTTTGATGGATGTGTTAGCAATTTGAATTGGAAATTTCCTGCAGTAGCGATTTTTTTATTAGAGTAGGTTAGCATTTGGTAGCGTTTAGTGTGTTTATGGCTTCAAGACATCCTAACCACTTCACCTGGTTCTTGAATCTTGCAGCAGGGACATGCTGATTTTTAACATTTATTGTACAGTTCGTTGTAATCTTTGCATTCTACATGCTAGTGTTATTTTTGTTGTTAAGGAGGGCATTGCTAGATGCATCTTTGGAAATTTGGCCTTAGTTATTCTTTTGAGAATCGTTGGGTCTTTCCAAGAACAAGGTTTTGAATGTGGTGCATTATTTGGGGTCCATCCCCTTCTTTTTGTAGTATCTAGGAAAAGCAGAATATAGAAAATACGTATTACTAACATCAGACATAATGGGGCGCTGGGGGCCCATATTATGAGTCATATCAAATAGTTTGTTATGTGGACTTCTGTTATGATAAATAGGAATACGAGATTGTTTGGACAACTCATTCCACAATTATTCAAAGACTTAGGTTGGGGTAATTTCAGGAAATAAATAGTATAAATGAAGATTGACGGGTGGCTAAACGAGTGTGCCATAACTTCACCCCCTTCTTGTCGTCGTCAAAGCTGTAGGCATTCTATCAAAAAAGTATATCCCATTCGATTCCTTGTCTTCTCATGGTTTACTCCCAATTCTTGAATCCCGAAAGACACAAGGTGCAGGGTAAAGGCTTATGAGCATTTCCAGTCTTGGTAGTGCTACCATGGAGAGAAGATTAGCAAGGGATGAAGGCAGATAGAAAACACTTGATAAACAGATAATTGGGTCTGAATCTATATACCCAACTTTAAGAGCTTGGGTGGTTAATACTATAGAAAGATGAATATTTTTGGGAGAAGATAGAGGAAGAGAAAAATCTGGGTTTGATAGTTTATCTATCACATGGTCGCTAGATCTAGAATCAATATTCCAGTCTGGTGGGGGTAGCGAGAAGAGAAGGTGAGTTACTTGTTACTTGAGATGGAGATGAGGATGCTTTGTTGTGTTCAAGCCCCCCCAACGGTGGTCATATGAGCAATGGAAGGTTGACTAATGTCGTATGAGCAATGGAAGGTCAATAGTTTGACTAGTTGTTGTATGAGCAATGGAAGGTCAATAGTTTGACTAGTCGTTGTATGAGCAATGGACGGTTGACCATGTAAAATTCAGCACATATCGACGCTTCTCTTGGTTAGGATGTCCCTGAGCTTTGCCCTTCACAGTTTCCACTTGTAATTGTGTTTTTGCTATTTGCTGTCGGAGCAGGATACTCAACTGCAATGCTTGGGGGTCTTGCAACACTTGTAACTTCTACTCTTCTCGTTGAAGAAGATTAGAAGTCACAAGAAGGGAAGGAAGATTTGGTTGACCTAAGATTTGATTCCTAACAGTCCTTAGTTCTGAATTAAGACATATAAGTAGCTTACAATCTGGACGTTCATCTAATTTTTTCGTATACTTTACAAGCCCAGTTGCACAATCACACGAAGGCAGGTCATAGGAAGTCATATCATCCCAAATCCTTTTCAGAACACCAAAATATGTAGAAATGGACTTATCTCCTTGTTGACAGTGTACCGTCACAATGCAGTTAGAATACGTGCATGCTGTATTTGTTTTGAGAGATTTTCTCTTGATGGTATTGCATAGTTCTTTGGCCGTTTTCTGAAACATCATACTATCGCATATGTTAGGTTCCATGGAGTTGAGTAAACATGATATGACTATTTCATCATCAGGCCTCTATTCGCCAAATTTTGGATCTGTAGGACAAGGGGCCTTTGATGTCATGACCCATTTTATATTTCCCTAGTAAACCAATTTACCCAGACTATGCCCAATATAGATAATCTCTCCCGTTCAATTTGACAATCGTAATTTGCATATTTGGGTTATCGAAAAGCAAATTTTACTTGTCATGAGTTGTTTGTTTAGCCATGGATATCTATTTTTTTTCTAAAGCGAATCGAGATCAAGCAATATAATGTGCCCTAAAGATCACAAAAAGGGCTTTAAATATGGGCAACTATGCTAAAAGTGCTTGTAGTACTTGGAAAAAAAAAAAAAATTGTTACCTGAAGATGGTCGAGAGGAAGAAAGATTTACCCAAAAAGGAGGTCTGCCAGCAACAAAATATGGAATATCTTCACAATTAAAATTCCAAAATTCATGGAACTTTAGTCATATGTATATAGTGCTTGGGCAGAACTATTGATGTTGATTCTATACTTGTACAATCTCTAAAAAAGTAAAACATACTGCTGGGCAAGCAGGGTAGCAATAAAAAACCTAAGAGATCACACAAACCTGAGCTCTTTTTATCACAAACATCTAAGTGGTCTTGAGTGCTGAAAAAGAACCTTATCTTCTATTGGATTGACTTGATCGAGCTTTAGATAAGTGATATTTTTTGTAGAACCCAAAAAACAAGGTGAAAACCCTCTTTTCCTTCAAAAACCATTTGATTCTATATAAAATCCTAGCATTGTGTGTGTGTTCGTGTGTGTGCGCTCTTGCGTGCATGCATGTGTGTGCGTGCGTGTGTCAGTCAAAAATTTAGTTTAATGGGCTGCTGCAAAGCCCTCTACAAATTTAAGGTTTGAAGGTGTTTAAGCAGGTGACATCAGCAGTCTGTAGTGATGACATAAGCCCTAGATTATGCCAAAAGAATAAGTTTTTCTGTTGAAATTTTGTGCATAAGATGAGTGGTGCTCCTTCTTGGATGAATAAGCCCCAAGAATGATAGGCAAATCTGCTCAGGTGTTGCACAGATTTGAGCAACGAGATATATATTTAAGGAAGCGGAAGCTGTGCAGTGTAAGATAACTGCTCTGAAACCGAACGGGTTTGCCGATCGGTTAGCCAAGGATGGAGCCATGGCCCATTCTGAAGTTTAGGCACTACTGCAGCTCGTTTTGGGTCAGGCACTAAGCATGCACTCTACTCGATCTCGTCTTGGATGGGGTCCCTTTTTTGTTTTACTCGTCCTTCCCTTTTTGGTATCTTTCTTGTACATTTCTGATTACTGTGTAAGGGGATAATCTTATAACCCCATTTTGTATAGGGTCGGATGATCTATTCTTTTTTACCAGGAGTACAGGTTTTAAGGTACTCTTGGCTGATCCTTCATCTCTTGTATCTACCCTTTTAATCAATACAAATTGTTAACAGTTATAACAAAAAAAACCATGTTATAAGAGATATCTCTTATAATAAATTATTTGATGAGAAAGGGTTGAACTGTTGTTGTTTGCGCAAAATGTTCAAAGAGAGAAAAAATTGAACTGAAAAATAAAAAGGAAAAGGAATGGAGCCACACAATTCCAGCACTTTTCATATATTTTATATTTGTAACATTTACAGAATTGCCCTAAGACTTTTTACATTTCACGGTTAAGTCTATATATGAGTTGTAGATAAATATAATATATGTCTAGTGCAAAAGTATGCATAAAGGACTAATGTGCCATTATGGGTCATATCTGTCTAATGATGGTAATTATGGTCAACAATTATCTTACTATTCATTTAGCTTTAAATGTTTTTGATTTTGTTACTTCACTTTTGTCAACAATATATAAATAACTTAAAGTTCTATGTGCTTTTTTATGTTAATTTTAAAAGTGGACGAACATATATGATTGTGGTGGTTGAACATGTTGTGCGGTTTTCGAATCTCTGATAACTACAGATGGCATCCCTATTGTAAGTATAGAAATCAAATTACAGAAATTGCTTTTTATTCAATGGTTTGAACCATTCATTGGTAATTTTTGCTGGATCCTGCTGTTCTGTTAGCTTTCCGTGGAGTTTGCTTTTCATGGTCTACTTTGATTTAATGTTTTACCATATTGAATTACTAGAAGCACTTGCTCCTTGATTGATTATTTACCCTTCACTGTAATTATGTTATTTATTATAATTACGGCTTATTGAATGATCTTGCTGGCCTTGTCAGGTGAACACACCACGAATTTGTGCTCGTTTGGTATGGTCCATATCAGAGCACCTTGATCTAAATGGTCTGGATCCGCTGCTTGCCGATGATCCAGAGGACCCATTGAACATCATCATCACGAATATTCACAAGGTGTTATTCAGCACGGATTCTTCTTCAATGGCCTCGAATAGGCTTCAGGATGTGCAAGCTGTGCTCTTATGTGCACAACGTTTAGGGTCACGACATCCTAGAGCGGTTCAACTCCTCACTAAGGAACTTGAGGATTTTAGGAATGGCGGACTAGCAGATTCGGTAAATAAGCACCAGTGTCGTCTTATATTGCAGATAATGAAGTACATTACCAGTCATCCCGAAAGCAGGTATGGTGCATATGCATTTTTACTTACAGTGACAGGAGTGGTGTTACAGTTGTGACTCCATTACCATCTCTGTTTATCACTTTATATATAGGCTTGGTTTCTGACAGGTTGGTGTGTTTTGAAGAGATATAACATGTGGCTAGTATAAGTGCAACATTTTAAAACAACAAATTTTGATTTTGGATGCTCAACTCCACATTTATTTTTCTTTGGCTCGGTTCAACCTAAATCTATATTAGGTCTTCACTTGCATATAGAGAATTATAAAAGCTGTTGCAGATGATATATAACTTCTAACCACGATGATATATCACCCAGCAGAATTTAGCTGCTAGATTATTTTATATTCCTAACCTTATTTGAATAGTTCAGAACAGCTTCTCCATTTTTGCAAGGAGCTTGCTTGTTTTTATTTGGCTCTGCTTAACCTTTGACTTCAACTTATTTTGGCCTATCAATATATTTTCTATGCTGAAGGATAAGTACAACAGGACTTCTATGCCATTTTAGGCAATGTAAAAAGTGGTTACTATTTTGACACCCAACTGTTGTTGTCATCTTTCCAAGTAGGACAGTAATGCGATGGCAATGGATATGAGAACCATATATGATTATGAGTTTGATGGTTTTTTGCTACTCACTGCTTTGGTCATCATTTTCTTATTCCTGAAATAAGTTTTGATTTGTTTTCATCATGACTAGAAAAAAGACATGTATAGATAAGTGGACTAATGTGTTGTTTTTTGCCAAATTTTGATCAGTACAAGAAAGAGATTATATGACCGAATATTTATGAGTACCGATACACATTTACTTTAAAACGGAGGCCATATTTATGTCTAATTCTTGGGGATCATATGAAAAAGCAAGCAGCTTTTGCTCAAGATCCTCTCCAAGGTGCTCACCTCAAGCATTTGAGAAGTACTCGCGTGGGTCATCTCTCCCACCCAAGGAGCCTTTGTAAAGGACCGTCAAATCCTTGATGGAGCCCTCATTGCTCACGAATGCCTTCATTCCTGACACTTGGCTATATCCCGAGACTAGTCATTATGCTAGATTGGGAAAAGGCATATGACCACGTCGGCTGGGACATCCTAGAGGAGAGTCTATTGCGAATGGTTTTGGATCCCGTTGGTGAAGGTGGAGAAGGGGGTGTTTTTCTTCTCCATCCTTCTCGGTTATTATCAATGGTACTCCCAAGGGTCTTTTCTAAGCTTCGAGGGGACTTCGGCAAGGGACCCTCTCTCACCTTTTCTCTTTGCGATTGCTGCTAAGGTGTTTAGCTTCTCTCTTTCGGGCTTGTACCGAGCCGATCACGTTAGGGGTTTTTCAGGCTAGTTCTAGAGGGCCCACCATTTCCCACCTTTAATATGCCAATGACACCCTTCTTTTCTGTGATGCCCACCATAATCAGGTAAAAACCTTTGCCTCTTCTTAAGATGTGCTTCCAATGGGCCATGGGTTTCAAAGTGAATCTGGCTAAGACCACTATGATGGGGGTAGCCATGAGCATCGAATCGGTTACCCATTATGCCAACCTCTGGGGTTGTAAAGTGCAATCCTTTCCCTCTTCTTACATAGGAATAGGAATACCCCTGTGCATTAGCAAACCTAAGCCTAGTCAATGGGCCCATATTATTGACAAGTTTGATAGGAGATTTGTAGGGTGGAGAGGTAGATTTCTCTCTCTGGTGGGAGACTTACCCTTATCAAGGCAACTCTCTCGAGCATCCCAATCTACCAAATGTCCATTTTCTTGATCCCGGCCTCTATTGCTAACCGCCTTGAACAATTCATGAGAAACTTCATGTGGTCGGGTACCGAAGGAAGGAAATATCGTCTTATGGCTTGGGAAATAGTTCGTATCCCAATATCTCAAGGCGATCTAGGCATCCACAGTATTAGATGCACCAATGTTACTCTCATTGGTAAATGGTGGTGGAGGTTGGCTGTCGTATTAAATATCGGGGTCCCCCTAATGCATGGCTCCCGAACAGCAGGGTCCCCTCCAATACCTCAAGTCTTTGGAAGGGTTTCTTATCTTGCCTTCATCGTTTTGTGGTCAACATTCGCTTCTGACAAAGTGAGGGTAGCAGGATAGCGTTTTGGACAGACACTTGGATTGGTCATACCCCCCCTCAGGGAGACCTTTCCTACTCTCTTCCGTTTGGCTTGCAACCCTCAATCTGCTATTGCCGAGAACTTCGAACCCTCAGCCCATGGAAGGATTTGGTCTCCAATATTTAGAAGGCCTTCCAATGACTCAGAACTGCTCGCCCTTCTCATGTTGCAGGCCTTTTTCCATTCCTCCTTTCTCCTTATGTGTGGCTATGACAAGATTGTATGGACCCCCTTCACCTCAGGAGTGTTTACAATGTCCTTCTACTAGGCCCTTCTTGGGCTTCCCCAGGCCCTTTCTTCCCCTTCATTTCCAGCAGCTAAAGTTTTGACCTCCATGGCCCCTCCCAGAATTCAGTTCTTTAATTGGGTGGCAACTCATGAAAGGGTCTTAACTATAGACCGGTTTCAAAGAAGGGGTGTGCATTAGGTGTCGAAATGAAGCCGAATCCAACGCTCACCTCATCTTGCATTGTGAGCTTGCTTCCAGTCTCTGGGGTGCCATTCTTAAAACTTTTCGGGTGGTTCAGGGCCACCCTGCAATCCATCCCCCATCTATTCTCATCCTACCTTTCCCCTCCTTGAGCCAAATCTGGCATTCTCTTATAGAGAGCCTTGGTGGCTGCTATCATGTTGGTTGGAAAGAAACCAAAGAACTTTTAGGGGGGAATATTCACTTATTGACACCCTGCTGGAAAAGGTGCGATCACTTGTCACTTTTTGGGCTACTAACTCCAAACCTTTCAACCACCTCTCTCTTGCGGCTTTCCATCAAAATTGGAAGGCCCTCCTTCACCTTAGGCCTTTTCAAATCCCCCAGGCCTCTTTTTGGACCCACCCGCTTGTGGATAACTAAAGTTTAACTTTGACTGATGCTCCCTGGGTAACCCCAGCCCATCGGGAGCTGGGGGGATCTTTCGTGATAGTGCTGGCTGCTCTCTCTTTTCCTTTGCGCATTCTATTGGCTTCTCCGACTCCAACCAGCCTGAGGCAGAGGCTCTCCTGACTGGCTACAGATTATTTATTAGGGATTGGGGAAATTCTTTGATCATTGAAAGAGACTCCGTAAACGTAATCTCTTGGGCCTCCAAAGCAGACCTGTGCCTGTGGAGACTTGATCACCTCTGTGACGAGATTTCCCATCGATGCTCGGATGTGCAAGTTCACTTGAGGCATGCCTGGAGGGAGGCAAATTCCATTGCTGATGCCCTTGCTAGTGAAGGGGCTCAAGGCTCCATCTCTCTAGGAACTCCTTGATGACCATCTTGGAGTCCTCATGTTTTTCTCGTCTTCTCTTCCCCTTTATTTTCTGGTCTAAGTGTAAATCTTCTTTAGCTTTTGTCCCGCAAGGGCTTTATTTCTTTCACCCGGCTTGTCGGTGGCTGACCTTTTTGTAATCTTCTTATACTCAATTCAACAGTTAAAATTATCCCAAAAAAAAAAAAAAATTTTCTGGTAAGAATTGTTTTCCCCTATATATGTTAGATGGCACTATGAAATTGATGAATCTTTTGCCTTGTATTGTGGCTTTGTTTTGTTTTATCTTTTGGATATTTTGTGTCTGCCTTTTCATCATCATTATATTCCGTATTATGTGTAGCCAATGTTGAATGCTTAAAATTGATAATGGCATCATGCACAAAATAAGGAGCAAATATGATAGTCAAATGTGGAATTAGTTCCTTTTTATGTGGATATTCCCATGATCCTATTGTTATTGCACAATACCTTTACAAGCTATTCTTGAGAACTATGGGCAGTAATTCTTACAATGATTTTCTGTGAGATCTTGGTTTATAACGACATCAATGCACTTGATGGTGAAGCTGCCATGTTTGTTGTGGTGGACAGTATCCCTTTATCTGATCGGGCGACCTTAATACCCAATAAATGCTTAAGAGTTCTAAGATCAAGAAGATAAAACTACTTGAAGAGATTCTTCTTAAGACCAACTTTGGTGCGAGCATCAAAAGGAAGAGGTTAGTTGAGTAAACGTGTCCAGGAGAAAGATGGTTTGTGTGAAGAGTACAGGTGTGGAGAGAGAGAAAATCTAAGAATAGGACTTGTGTGGAGAGAAAAAAATCTAAGAATGGGACTCATGTGAGAGTAAATGGAAGTGCTAAGTTTTGTTTTCACAAAGTAATGATAAAGGAAATACTTGGGGGTTGGATATGGTGCAGAATTTTCCTTTATGCCTCACATATGTGGTACCTTGGCATATGTGGACAAGTAAAATAGTAGTGGTAATGGACTTTTTTCTTGTAGATAATTATGAGTCTGCTTCTCTGATATCATTTGGGGCAGAAAAACTGAAGTAGAATTGTCATTTGGATGGTCCTTAATGGATAAGACCCCTCTTTTGGTGGATAATCTTGGATATGCTTATGTCTTTGGGTTAACAATGCCTGGTGGAAGTCTTTGACAAGAACTCTGATATGCTGAAGGAGAGGCCTTGAATGAAGAATAGGTTTTGTCAATAGTGGATAACTCCTTTTTAATTATGAAAAAAAATCAACAAGTTCATTGGGTTTCAGGAATATCAAACCTCAGATGTTTACCTTCTAGACCTTTAGATTTTAGTTTTTCTATTGATTCCATATTTTAATGCATTATCGTATATGCCTAATTGTGTGGCTTATCAGGTGGGCGGGGGTCGGTGAGACCAAAGGTGATTATCCATTCAGCCATCATAAGCTTACAGTTCAGTACTCTGAAGCTTCTGCTGCTCAAGATAGGAAGTTGGAAGGACTGGTTCACACGGCTATTCAAGAGCTTTGGAGGCCGGATCCCAGTGAATTAACCCTCTTGTTGACAAAAGGCATTGACTCAACTTTATTGAAGATGCCTCCAAGTGCATGTACTTTGACTGGTAGCAGTGATCCTTGCTATGTTGAAGCTTACCACTTGGCCGATTCTACAGATGGAAGAATTACGTTACACTTAAAGGTAAGTATGTTTACTGATTTGTCATTTATGTAGTATATTGGTGAAAGTGGATATCACGTTTAGCAGCTATGCTGTTATGTGCAAATTGCTCCTATTCTTGTGTGAGGGTTATTGGCTATATAGCCAGTGATAAAAAATCGTTCCAAGTTGACTTGCCCAAATTAACTCATTTGGCGCATATACGAGTTTGATTATGAAAGGCTCAGGTTCGGGCTGAGGTTTTGAGTTTTCAAATTAAATAAATAAGACATTGTGTGAAAATGGATTGTGGGTTTTGTGGTAGTATATATGCTCTTTTTAGACTTGGATGCAAAATGGAATCCTGCTGCTTGCAAATTTAAAAACTCAAAAGAGTCAACATGGTTTTGGTTGTGACCAGAGGGGGACTGACCGTTTTCAAGTTTCTAAACATTACTTCTTGTGGCATCGATTATTTGATCCCAAATGATTTTTATTATGCAGAATGTGAAGCAACAAACAGAGCAAAGAATGATTGAGAATCTTTTAACTGCATCTGTACCATTTCTCTACTGCATATCTCGATGGTGTCAAGAATACTTCGTAGTAGCATTTGATATTCCCTTCTTTTTTTTATGATTTTTGAAGAAAGACGTAGGTTCGAGCTAGACTGACTACTCCAAAAGCACTCATCCATAAACCAGTCACTGGCGCAAATGACTTAAAGAGGTGTATGTAACCTAGCCAACAGAAATTGCAAACCCTCATCTTTGGGACCAGAAGCAGTTAGTAGTAACCAATAGGTCTCTTAAACGGTGACAAACAGAAGCACGGAATGTCTTTGTCCATCTTCGAATTCAGTCTTCTCTTGCTTTTTCGAGCTTCAACTTGACTTCCGGCTTCGGCTGCATCTTCTTAACATCTCGACCCTTGCCGAACTTTGGACTCTTGCCAGCACCAGAATCACGACTGCTCGATCCCACATATTGGCAAGTCTATCAAACGGTCCGCTACCGTCAATGGCGTACTTAGATCCTGCACATTTTAGCCAAAAGTTGTCCCAGCTCACATGATGCTAATAATTGGAAACCTTGAGGGGTGTGGCAGAGTCCAGTTATGATATGACACTCATATTCCTGATATAAATGCAATGTTTTTTGTTTTGCTCATTCTTAACACAGTTTTACTACTACCATACAGACTGGTTGGTTTTTCTGTTGGATGACAAGTCTCTCTGATTTACATGATCTTAAACGAGGCATCTGTCTACATATAAGTTTGGGCGTTACATGTATTTTTTTTGTACATTCAGGGGATTGTTGTATTATTTTAATATTTGAACCTTTTTTGCAGGTTTTAAATATGACCGAACTGGAACTTAATAGGGTTGACATACGGGTTGGGCTATCAGGTGCTCTACATTTCATGGATGGATCCCCTCAAGCTGTACGGCAGTTGCATCATCTTGTTTCACAGGTCTGATTCTGTATGACTTCAAATTATATAGTGATATTGCTTTCAATTGGCCAGTATGTTTTCATTTGCAACATAGTTGATAGATGTGTAAAGTATGACTTAGGCAAGTGGAGTTTCTTGCACCACTCGAGTCTATTTGGTGATTGGTTTAATATTTTTTTGGAAATGTTACATGGCTTGCTTTTGTATATGTTTTTATATTCAACATTCCCTATCATGGCCAGTAAATAAGATTGCCAGATGTTAGCTGCTCTTGTTCAGAAGCTCATATGGATTGCTTTGACAATTTTCTATTTGTGTGACTTGGACTTTTGAGGATTTAGTAGAATATAAGTCCCCTTCCTGTTTGGGTTTGTTTTGTCATAAACTCGACGAGTCATGAAATGACCATATGGTCATCAACTCAGCTATGGCAACAACTTCCAAATGAGCCAAACCTTTGGGAACACCTTTGAAAGGATGAAACATGAATATACTGTAAAAATGAGAAAGATTTGAATTGACATAAATGGGCTTGTAAATTTCACCGAGAGCTGTATTACCCATGAATAGGAATTTCATGGTGAACTGTTTAAATTGGACCAAATGAAGTCCAAATATATTCAAATTTGGAGGAATGGCTAAGGAAGATATTTCCAAGCATACTTCGAAAAATCATGTAGTTCGGAGAATGGCTACGTGGTGAAGTTCATGACTAGGCGTAGAGGTTTCATAGTCTCTCATAGTGAACCATCCAAATTGGACTAAATAGGGTCCAAATGAAATCAAACTTAGGGAAACATCTATTGAGGATAGTTCCCAGTGTTTCAAAAAGCGGACCGCCCAATGCTTGGGCGGCCGCCTAGGTGGTTCAGACGGCCTGGGCGCATCGCCCAGGAGTAGGCGCCAAAAAAAAGCGGAAATCTCGGGGCGCCTGCCGAGGCGCCTGGGAACCCGCCTAGGCGGGCGCCCGGTCCCCAGCCCTGGGTGGCCGTTCAGGGCCTGCGCCCGGCTCAGAGGCAGAAAAGCCACTCATTGGGGGCATTTTGTATAATGTTTTTAATACTAAGTGGCCAAAATTGTGGGTTTTAGGTTCATTTGAAACCTAAACCCATTAGAGCCTATTTTAGAAAGAGAAAAACTCCAAAAAACTAGTTTTTGGTGATTTCTATAGGATCAAAGGGTTTCTCAATGTTATGAGAAATTGATCAAAACATCACCCATCGATATTAGATTTAATTTTGATGTTTTATAAACCTATGAAAGGGTTTTTTAGAAGATTTTAAGTCTTTAGAAACATCTTAGAGGTGGAAGTTTGGAGATCGAGCAATCAAAGTAAGTGATTTTTTTTATTGCTTGTATAAGTTGTATTATTTTGAGATGTTTTCTTTGGGATCTAATCGAATTGCTGATCCAGGTTGGAAATATGACTATAACCCAAATCCTTTGGATAGAAATTGCATAAGATGCAAGTTTTGTGAAAAGGATACAAAAGGGGGCATAAACTGGTTCAAGAAACATCTTGCCGGTATCAAGGGGGATGTTGCGCCATGTAAGAAAACTCCTGATGTTGTTAAAGAGGAAATAAACAAATTTATGAGTCATGTAAAAATGAAAAAAGATGAGAGACATGCCTTAGTAGAGATTAGGTATGGGGTTCGAGTCAGTTACGATGATGATGACAGTGATGAGGATCGGGAGGAATGTCAAGCGGTAGAATTATCCATTATTAGGGGGAACGGAAAGGGAGTTGTAATTGCTTCTGGGTTTTTTTGAGGTCTATTGATGCCCCTTATATATTCCAAGTTATAGAGAAGGGAATCAAGGAGGTTAGAGAACAGCTTGTTATGCAGGTTGTCACAGACAATGCTGCTCCTAATATTGTTGCTGCTAATTTGTTGCCCATAGCGTACCCTAGAATCTTTTGGACACCATGTGCAACACATTGTATAGATCTCATGCTTGAGGCTGTTGGCGGTTTAAGCGAGATTTCAGGTGCAGTGAAGGAGGCAAAGTCAGTTATGAATTTCATTTATAGCTGCACTTTCACCCTCGGCATAATGGGTAGATTTATAATGTAGAAAGAGATTGTGAGGCCTAGGGTCACGAGATTTGCGACTTGGTACTTATGCCTAGATAACATATATTTGAAGAGAGTCCAGTTGAGGCAGATGTTTACCTCAGATGACTGGAGAGCTTACAAGTGGTCCAAGGATCAGGTTGGAAAGAAGGTGAGATATTATCCTTTCTAAGGCTCTTTGGGGAGAGGTGAAGGGCGCTCTTAAGGTATTTTTTCCTCTTGTTAAAGTCCTTCGCATGGTTGATAGTGACAAGGCTTCTATGGGCTACATAAATGAGGCTATGGACAAATGCAAAAGAGACATAGGCCAAAATTTCGATGATGATGAGAGCTGTTATAAGCCTGTTTAAGAGATTATTGATGAGAAGTGGGATAGGCAGCTACGTCGGCCTTTGCATACAGCTGGTTGTTATTTGAATCCAGCTTTTTTTATGTTGATAGGGATATACACACAAATGACTAGATGTATGTAGATGTGCTAGTCCCTTATCCGGATATCCAGGATATTATATGTGCTGATGAGCTGATAAATTGCAATGGTGCATTAAAGTCTTATGGGAGTCCAATGGCGACGAGGCAAAGGACCAAAATTGATCTAGGTTATCATATTCTTAATCATAAGTTCATCAAGTTCAAGTAATCAAGTTTCATTTCTATAATTCTATTATTTATTTATGATTTTATTCTATATCTTTGTAGCTGATTGGTGGAGCCAACATGGGTGTAGTGCTCCAAATTTACAAAAGTTGGCCATTCGGATCTTAAACCTAACTACTACCTCGTCCGGTTGTGAGCGGAATTGGAGTACTTTTGAAAGAGTAAGGGTAATTTGTATTAGTAATTTAATACTTTAGTAGTTATTAGTTTTGACTGTTTTGTAGTATTACTAATATATATTTATTTATTTATAGTAATTAGTTTCATTTGATTTTGTTAGATTCATACAAAGAAAAGGAACAAACTTGAATCAAAGAAGGTCAATGACCTAGTCTATGTCAAGTGTAATCAATTCTTGAAGGGCAGGTTTGTTAAGAGAGATAAGAGAGACCCCCTTAGATGAAAAATATGGATAATGCTATAGAGTGGTTGGTTGATGATGATTAGGTCAAGGGGCATGAAGGATTGACATGAGACATGGTCATGGATGCTTCATGGACATCAACCGACCCTCCTAGGGCCACTAGATCTTTTGCACAAAGGACGACGTTGGAGGAAGAGGAGAAAGCAGAGGCAGATTCAGAAGAGACAGAAGAGGACGACCATTATGTCCAGGATGGAGATGATGACAATGATGATGGCATCGACTCCGTTGCATATGATGCAAATGCAACTGACCCTACTCTTTCTGATAATGAATAATGAATGATGAATGATGAGTGATGATTGATCATTGAACTTTGGACATTGAAGATTCTTTGAAGTCTTTAAGAATTTCTTTTATTTTTGTTTTCCTCCTCTTGGTTGTGTATTGTGGATAGTGGATTTGTGGTTCCATTGGTTTGGTGTTTAGTAACTTTGGTAATTTAGTTGGTAAATTTACAGTTTTAACTATGTGTGGAATGTCGAGTGTGGACTATGGACTATCAATCAGACTATGGATAATTCATAATTGGATATGGACTTATGGTTACGGTCTTATGGAGTGTGTGCTCCTAAGTGTTGTGCAGTATACTTTTGAATTTTGATGTGCCCTAAGTCCCTAATTCTTATGTTTTATACAGTTATACTTATACTGTTAGAGACTATAGAGACATTTTTCTTTCTACTGGGCTGCCCAAGTTCTAGGCACCCGCCTAGTCCTTTTTGAAACACTAGTTCCTAGACTGCTCATAAATTAATATGGTGTAAGATATATATATATATATATTTTATTCTCCTATTTGATAGATCCTTCTTCCTGACTTGCACCTATGAATTCTTCACCGGCACAGCATTTTTCAGTCAGTATTCTGCATTTCAGTAAATGAAGGAAATATGTTAGTGTAAACTGGTTCTTTTTGCATTTTCAGTTCATAAGTATTGATTAGAAGATATGGAATGATATTGATATGGCTCTCTTGATACTAGGATCCAGTTCTCTGCAGTGTAACAGTAAGTGTCTCCCATTTCGAGAGATGTGCTCTCTGGCTTCAGGTATTGTTCTACCCATTTCATGGTAGTGGTGGGGCAGGAGACTATGGAGATGGTGACTATGCAGAAGATGATTATTCTCAAGTCATGAGACAAAAACAGACTTTGAGACCGGAAATGGGAGAACCGGTAGTTCTGAGATGCCTGCCCTATAAGATTCCTCTGACTGAGCTTCTTTTGGCTCACAAGTGTTCACCTGTTGAATATTTTCGCCTATGGCCAAGCTTACCAGCTATTGTGGAGTATTCAGGTGCATATACATATGAAGGGAGTGGGTTCAAGGCGACTGCTGCTCTTCAAAGTGGAGCACCACCATTTCTCAGTGGACTAAAATCACTATCATCTAAGCCATTTCATCAAGTTTGTTCTCATATTCTGAGAACTGTTGCAGGGTTTCAAGTAAGTGTCTTGCAGTTATAAAAAATGATATGTTTTCCCTTTTAGATTCATGACATGTTTTCCCTTTTAGATTTGCTAGTTTTAGATGAAAATAATAGTTTTAAATTTTAAATCAATCTTAAATGGTATTTTGGTTTCTTGTTTTGCAACAAGGAATTGGTTTTCTAGGAATAGATTGTATCTGAATGCAGGCATAGAAACTCACAACTTGAACTCTGAACTACATGTTACGAGTTCCATAGAATTCTTGACAATGTTAAGAGGCGTCATTGACAGTCTTTTGGTTTATTTATTTGATTATTAAATGATCAACATCAAAAGAATTAGTTCTATTGACCGTTTGTGACCCTAGAGATGAGTGTATTTGGTAATTTCTTTTGATCCTTTTTTTTAAAAAAATAAATTAAATTGCTTTATCTCGACTTACTTTTGAGATTGACTCCAAATACAGAAGTGTTTGGATGACCCATTTATAGGAACATTTCTGGAAGTTTCCATGGAAAGAAGAAATGCATTACAATTTAAACTTAATTACTCATCTTTCTGTGAGCTTTCATTAATCTTGATGGATGTATAGATTACTAGGACACTAGAAAAACACAGATATGGATATTCATTTCGTCAGGTTGGGGCTTACTTCCAAGGTTATTCATGCCCCTCATATCACAAAAAATGATCAGGAAATGGTTATGTTAAAGCTACTGGAACATAGGTTTGAGTGCTATTCCGGCAAGTTGAGAATCACAGACATCCATGCCCTGACCATCATCGGGAGCTTGGTACATATATATCTAGGTTTACTGTATTCTCTGTGTTTCTTGAATGCTAGTCATCTGTGTTAATCTAAGAATAATTATGTCCTAGGAGATTATAATATGATGAAGGCATCATGGCCTTCTATGGAAAATTTACTTTAATTTTATTAAGAGTTTAGTTTCTTTTTATTTGTTTTTTAAAGAATGAAAGCCAGGGTTATTTGGAATTCTAATTTCTTTAGTTATGTGGGGGGTATTTATATCTTTTGGGTGTAGAAAGATTTGAGGGGCCATTTGGTTATTTAATTATTTTATTTTAGTGAGGGTTTTTTAAAGTCATTGTTTTAAAACAATTATGTATATAAGGAGAGAGTGGGATGTCCAGCCCATAGAATGTTACAATTTGTTTGGCGAAGAAAGAAAACTTTAGCAAGGGCGCCATTGAAATCTTGATTGAAGCTGATAGAGTAGGCTTGGAAGCACCTCTCAAGGTCCCTCCTTTCAAATGTACTCTTCAATTTTCTATTTTCTTTTATTTCTTTACCATCTTAATTCTTTTCTTTCCAGTCTTGGTTTCCTTTTGTTTTTTTTGGGATAAGTTAACAATGGGAATGGTGGGTGGGATGTTAGTTGAGGCTCTTGACCTCTAACCAGCCGGCCTCCAACCCCATTCCCTCATACTCATTTCTTCACTTCATTTCCTACTTCTTCATTCTTTCCTTTCGTTTCCCTCCTACTTCCTTTTTCTTTTCTTTATTTCATTCCTTTCCTCTTTTCTTTTTCCATCTTTCCTTTGTTTCCCTAATTTCGAATATAAAAATAAAAAACCTCTCTCAAAAAAGAAAAAGAAAAACCTATTTTTTTTTTTATTATCCATTAGTTTTTACAACCCTAGAATAAATGGTAGGAACGTTCTAGAATCATCATCATCATCCGAGCTTTATCCCAACTATTTGGGATGGGCTGCAGACTATTCTGCCATTCTGCTCTATCAAGGGCTATAAAGAACCTTTCGTAATCAATTTAAAATTATTTTACACCAACTTCTTCTATCTTGGCTGTAGATTAGTTTTAAATTTGATCGGCATCGGCTTTTATTTCACTAATATTGTTTAAGTATAGATTTCAATCCATTATGGATTCGAGATCTCATCAACTAGACATTAAAATAAATTTCCAAACTTGCACGTTGATTTTGCAAGTTTTTTTCCTCAATTTTGTGGATGAAAACTTGCTGAACTTGTAGTTAATTAGCCTTAGTTTAGTTTAAAGTGTTATGCAAAAATGCATTTGATTTATTTTTGGGTAAATCAGTGGGGTAGAAGGTCCCCTTCCCGTTTCCATTAATAAAAGAAAAGAAATTACAACTCACTATTTCACAACCTTACAATAGGGCAATTGTACAACATCATGAAGTAAAGGAAGAAAAAGAAAGTTTGGAGGCCTAGTGCGCAAAATGGTTACATCTGAAAACCTTGAGGCCTTCTTAGCGAGTACATCAGCCACCATATGCGCCTCACGGTAAATATGACAAATCGACCATGAATGGTTTGCAAGTCTATAGTAGTAATTAGCAGCTATTGATGTGACCTGTGCAAGAAGTGAGGAATCACTGTCAATCTAAAGAGGTAAACACTCCATCTGATTAGCCAAATCGACTCCCTCTTCCAAAGCACGAAATTCTGCATACTTATTTGATGCAACACTAAGGGGCTTGGCAAAGGCAGCAAAGAAAGGTCCATCATCCCTTCTGATGACTCCCCTACAGCTCGCTATCCCAGCATTCTGAAAAGAAGACCCATCAATATTTAACTTGAAATGCTTCGGGCATGGAAAAGTCCATGCAATTGGCGTGAGGGACTTGAACCTTTGTTGTCACCATATTACATGTAAATTTTCCATTATTGCCTTCTCCGAGATATGGTATGACCATGCTTTGGAATCTGCTAGCTCACAAACATGGGAAGTGATCCTTCGCACCATATGTTCACGCCTGCACACCTTTCCTTGAAATATCTGCCTATTACGCTCCTCCCAAATCATCCAAACTGCTGTGAAGAATAATGAATACCAAATATTTAGGGCTCCATTTGACATAAATCAAAAAGCCATCCAATTTCTCAATGTGGATGCAATGGATGAGTTAGGCATGAATCTTTTACCACATCTCCACGCAATCGATCTCCATATTCCATGGCAGAAAACACAATCAAGTAGAAGATGGTTTATGGTCTCATTATTAGATTGGCAAAAGTGACACATAGAAGCTAGGGCAATCTCTCTTTGCTGCAAAAGAGGGTAGGTGGGTAGACGATTATGAAGGCCAACTAAGAAAACCATTTTGGCCTAGGATGGCATTTTAAGACCATAGAGCTCTAAAAATGGGTTGGGGCATCCCCTATGTCAAATAAACTTCCAAGCCTCCTTAACCGAGAATAATCCATTAAAAGAATGAATCCATATGAGGAAGTCTCTTTGTGGTGCCAACGGAATTGTGATGTCTCCACCTCCTTCCAGGCTCTTACTAGAGGAACAGAAGTAGGAGAAGGTAGATGCCAAGTCTGTGGAGAGCCATGTAGATAATCTGCAACCTTGTGTTTAGCAAGAATCCCTAGATCTCTATATATATGATTACCGTAAAAGTCCATAATAGATTTCTCTGATAACCACAGATCTGCCCAGAAATCAACTGATTTTCCATCCCCAATAATCCATTTGACATTGTAGCGTAAAAAGGATAGGCCCATCTGGATGCCCTTCCAAGCATAAGAGCAACTCTTCTTACGAACTCCCCACAAAAATGCATTTTAAAGTATTGGAAATCGAGGATTAGCGTGTGGCTAATCTTAGGTTACATCATAATGCATCGTGTTGCTTAACTAGGCCTAACTTGAGGCTCCAAGGTAATAAGTGAGAACAAAATATCATCCCGCTGTGCGTTCCATCGAATCTCAAACAATTTAATTATCATAGAGGGTTTGTTGCACTTGGTATTTTTTCTAATGAGTGATTGTGATGAGTTTTGGGTGGTTGTCCGATGAGTGATTTTGATGTGTCTCTTGAGTAGTTGGTTTTGTTCCTTTGGGTAACATGAAGCCAAGGAAGTTTAGGGGATTTCCTTGTTAGATCAAGTCCCTTTGTTTCTGAAAACATTTGGAACTGTAGGAGCTGCATATATGAAACTTGTCTTTCTTTGAAACTTGAGATAAACAATTTAGACTAAATGTGCACAAGATGATCCTGAGATGCATCGGCCATCAAAAGAATATTCGAGGCATGTAGCTCTCCAAGTGTTGCAGTTGATCAATATGCAACAGCTGTCAGAACATTAGTCAAGTTCGCTACTGAACATCAATAATCATCCTTTGGTACATGCATATTGTCTATTATTTCATATGCTTTACTTTCTTTGATATTTGCTCCAAGATGTTATAATTTTCTATATTGCTACTGTATGTGTTGAGGGAATCCAAATGATATAAGGATATATAGCCCTCTGCTGGTTGTAGGATCATGGGAGAGCTGCATAACTTCAAAGAAACTAATATTGGGGAATAAGTGTAGTTATGCTAGGGTAAAAGTCTTTTGATGCAGAACAAAACTATTCTTATTTTTATGCTTTGTGTAATTTCCAAGGATGTGTATTTTAATTTTAATTGTAGGGTTTAGTTTTAGGGTTTTTAAGTTTTTTTTCTGGGGATTCTAGGGTCTTTTTGTAATTTTGAGATTTTGAGAGTCATTTAGAAAAGTAGTTAGAGTACTTAGGAATATTTTGTTTTATCAGGGGTAAAAATATCATGGCGAATTTTATGTTTAAGTTGGGACCATGTAGTCAATTTTATTTTGGCTAAGGTTATTTTGAACTTTTGTACCCCAGTTAAAATATAAATACAAGTGCTTGAAGGCCTAGGGTGATTCGCATGAGCTTTTAGGGAAAAGATAAAAAAAAAAAAGAATAGCTTTAAGCCGGGTGAGCCCTAGTTAGAGTTTTGTGGTGGAGAAACCTCAAGTTTCTTCAATTGAGTGCTTGTGTTTGCCTGGAATTTGCTTATATATTTGTTAGATGAGTCCTTACGACTTCTTTTCCTTGCGTCGATTCCTATCCCTATTCTCCTAGTAACCTTCCTTGCCGTAGGCACCAATAGCAATCAGCTCTGACTCCTAACTACTAATAGTCAGGATGGAGATAGAGATTCAATACCACACCATTGGACTACTTATCCCTTTCTTTGGTACCATAGGAAC